GTGGGCAGCGACTGGGTATGTCGAGTTTTTGCACCTAATGGTGCTACGATGTTCCGAGATTTGTACTTTTAATTCGTGACAAGTCATACAGTGGGGAAAAGAAGTATTTAGTCAGCCACCAATTGTGCAAGTTCTCCCACTTAAAAAGATGAGAGAGGCCTGTAATTTTCATCATAGGTACACGTCAACTATGACAGACAAAATGAGAAAAAAATTCCAGAAAATCACATTGTAGGATTTTTAATGAATTTATTTGCAAATTATGGTGGAAAATAAGTATTTGGTCAATAACAAAAGTTTCTCAATAATTTGTTATATACCCTTTGTTGGCAATGACACAGGTCAAACGTTTTCTGTATGTCTTCACAAGGTTTTCACACACTGTTGCTGGTATTTTGGCCCATTCCTCCATGCAGATCTCCTCTAGAGCGGTGATGTTTTGGGGCTGTCGCTGGGCAACACGGACTTTCAACTCCCTCCAAAGATTTTCTATGGGGTTGAGATCTGGAGACTGGCTAGGCCACGCCAGGACCTTGAAATGCTTCTTACGAAGCCACTCCTTCGTTGCCCAGGCGGTGTGTTTGGGATCATTGTCATGCTGAAAGACCCAGCCACGTTTCATCTTCAATGCCCTTGCTGATGGAAGGAGGTTTTCACTCAAAATCTCACGATACATGGCCCCATTCATTCTTTCCTTTACATGGATCAGTCGTCCTGGTCCCTTTGCAGAAAAACAGCCCCGAAGCATGATGTTTCCACCCCCATGCTTCACAGTAGGTATGGTGTTCTTTGGATGCAACTCAGCATTCTTTGTCCTCCAAACACGACGAGTTGAGTTTTTACCAAAAAGTTCTATTTTGGTTTCATCTGACCATATGACATTCTCCCAATCCTCTTCTGGATCATCCAAATGCACTCTAGCAAACTTCAGACGGGCCTGGACATGTACTGGCTTAAGCAGGGGGACACGTCTGGCACTGCAGGATTTGAGTCCCTGGCGGCGTAGTGTGTTACTGATGGTAGGCTTTGTTACTTTGGTCCCAGCTCTCTACAGGTCATTCACTAGGCCCCCCCGTGTGGTTATGGGATTTTTGCTCACCGTTCTTGTGATCATTTTGACCCCACGGGGTGAGATCTTGCGTGGAGCCCCAGATCGAGGGAGATTATCAGTGGTCTTGTATGTCTTCCATTTCCTAATAATTGCTCCCACAGTTGATTTCTTCAAACCAAGCTGCTTACCTATTGCAGATTCAGTCTTCCCAGCCTGGTGCAGGTCTACAATTTTGTTTCTGGTGTCCTTTGACAGCTCTTTGGTCTTGGCCATAGTGGAGTTTGGAGTGTGACTGTTTGAGGTTGTGGACAGGTGTCTTTTATACTGATAACAAGTTCAAACAGGTGCCATTAATACAGGTAACGAGTGGAGGACAGAGGAGCCTCTTAAAGAAGTTGTTACAGGTCTGTGAGAGCCAGAAATATTGCTTGTTTGTAGGTGACCAAATACTTATTTTCCACCATAATTTGTTAATAAATTCATAAAAAATCCTACAATGTGATTTTCTGGATTTTTTTCTCTCAATTTGTCTGTCATAGTTGACGTGTACCTATGATGAAAATTACAGGCCTCTCTCATCTTTTTAAGTGGGAGAACTTGCACAATTGGTGGCTGACTAAATACTTTTTTCCCCCACTGTAGGTGCATTGCCTCAGTTAAACAGGCCAAATCAAACTAAGTCCTCAGCTCTATGACAGGCTGTTAGTGATCCTGGTTTTGTATTTATTATGGATCCCCATTAGCTGCTGCCAAGGCAGTTGTACAATTAAAAAAAAACATTACAATACTTCCATAACAGATTTCACAACACACCAAGTGTGTGCCCTCAGTCCCCGCTGTTCCATAAGGTGTATTCCTGATGTGGAATAGAGTTCCATGTAGTCATGGCTCTATGTAGTACTGTGTGCCTCCCATAGTCTGTTCTGGACTTAGGGACTGTGAAGAGACCTCTACAAGATTTAGTTGAGGTATAGGGTTTAGTGAATGATTTGTCCCAAATACAATGCTTTTTTGAAATATTTAGGACTCACTTTTTGGCCAGTCAGTTGACTGTTCTTCCCCCTCCAGTTGCCTCGATGGATGATCAGTCAACCTCATGTGACTTGGGAAATGGTAGTCAGATTTTTTTTGTGGCAACTCACAGAAACAGAAGTTCTTGCTGCCTTATTAGCTATTGACACCAAGAAGTCATTAGGGACTGACAATTTGGACCCGTCTTTCCTTAAGTATGCAGCGCCCCTCATTTCTGGCTCAGTAACACACGTTTTATTTACATTTGAGTCATTTAGCAGACGCTCTTATCCAGAGCGACTTACAGTTAGTGAGTGCATACATTTTCATACTTGCCCCCCGTGGGAAACGAACCCACAACCCTGGCGTTGCAAGCACCATGCTCTACCAACTGAGCTACAGGGGACTACTATATTTATTATATTATATTATTACTATATTTATTTAACTTTAGTATCAGGACTAATTCAAAAAGTGTGGAAAGCAGCTTTTGTGCTACCACTCCATTATCGACCCAGTTCCAGGCTCAGTTAGTCTTGCGAAAATACTAAAATCACCGGTAAACAAATAGCTACATCATTTCTTTTATCTCTAAATAGTATTCTTATTGTTAATCAGACCTAAATATAGCACCACTACGGGTACCATGCTTACCGCAAATACTTACTCGCCTCAGATTATATAAATAATTGTGCTGCCATGTTTGTACTCTTCTCAAAAGCTTTTGATACTGTAAACCATGTCATTCTGTTGAATAAACTGTCCTTGATAGTGTTGGGTACTGATGCTTGCCGATAGCTTCATAATTATCTCAATGACCAAACTCAGGCCATCAAGGTACATGGGGTCAAATCTGAGTTCCTTGAGTTACATAAAGGGGTGGCACAAGGTTCGATACTCTGTAAACAGTAGTGGGCTATCTATATAAATAACATAGGTAATGCTGTAAAAAGAAAAATATTAATTTGTATGCAGATGATAGTGTTTTATTCCATTGCTCCATCGGTTGGCCAAGCCTTTTCACATTTTAAGTCTGACTTTCAAGCACTGCAGGAGGTCACTATTGGATCTAAAGTTAGTGGTAAATGCAAAAAGAACGCATGCTGTTTTCTAGGTCCCATAACCCAGATTTAAATGAATTTGTAATGACTAGTTTGAACGGCACACAAATTGAGCGAGTTCCGTCCTACAAAAATCCTTGTATCTGGCTTGATGACAAACTGTCATTTAAAAAAACATGTCACTAAGCTGGTGAATAAGTTGAAGTTCAAGGTTGGTTTCTTTTAAAGAAACAAAGCATGTCGGACTTTTGTTAATAGGAAGGAAATTGTCCAGGCCACTTTTATGTCTATGTTATATTATGGGGATATTATCTATATGCATGCAGCAGCATTTACACTTAAACCACTAGATGCTGTTTTCCATTGTGCCCTTAGGTTTATTACTGGGGATGGTTATAGAACTCACCACTGTGTTTTGTATGCAAGGAGAGAGCAGCATTTACTTGTGTTTATCTACAAAGCACTCATGCAGAAACTTCATATGTATCATCATTCATTCAATTTAGACTTACAAATTACCAAAACCGGTCTCAGGCTTGTATTTGTATTTATTATGGATCCCCAATAGCTGCTGCCAAGGCACTCTGGATAACATAACAGCCTAACCAGCTCTGCTAGGGTGAGTAATGTTCAGTGAGCTGTTCTGTTCATTTGTGTCTGGAAGTAGCTAGCAAGTTAGCTTGAGTGCTTAACTTATGTTGTTATTACAGAACGCTCGGATCAACCCTTAAAGAGATGGGTGGGGCTAAAGCTTAAGAGGGTATGAACGATGCTGAATGGGTGTAAACAAAGAAGGGCTCTAGTAGTAGTAGTAGTAGTACCAAAAGATTCAAAGGCCATTTTCTCAAAAAGTGAGTTTACAAGTTTATCAACTTTCAAAGCAAAATTACTTTCCCATTCTTCCTCAACTGTAGTGTATGATATACCATTTTGTAGCTCTGAGTCTCTTTTTATTCAATGTAAAAAACACAATTTCAAATCTTGCTACATAAGACCGATTTGAGCTGGTGGGTCACATTTTCACTTATCCAAAAATAGCAATTGAATTGCATTCAAGCCATGTACATTTTCACTATAAACCCATGGACGGTGAATCTTTTTTTAATACATTTGGTTTATAATCAAATTAAACGAAAAACAATCTGCAACAGAAATGTTTCTAAATAGGATCGGGTCAGAAGCATATCATAAATCGCTTCTCTCATTCCATGCGCACACGTAGACTTAAAGGTCTTTACGCATAACAGTCACGTCTATACAGAATACTAGGCTCCTGTCAATTGTATCGTGGCCTGTGTGAGGCAGATCCTCAACAAAAATCTGCAGTTGATATTGAGGACTGAATAGTTTGGAGGAGCGTGTCTTTGGAAATCAGACGAGGGGCGCTCTTTGAAAATGGGGATGGATAGCCTACTTGAACAAGCGAAATGTAGGTATGTGAATTGTGAATAATGAAAAAGCATGAGGGCAAAAACCTCCAAAATATTTCAAAGCACTCTCAGTAGACCATTTAAAACCCCTTTATTCATAGGCTAGTTTTGGCTAATGGCCAGCATAAAAAGACCCACCTATGCGATTCTGCAATAAGGGGAGGGTAGGCTGTGCTTGGTTTTTAATCAAATTAAATGAAACCGAGTGTTTATTTATGTTTCTAAATATGAGATTCACCGGCACAAAAGGCACATCTCACCTTCCATGGGCACTGTGCGTCATGACTGGATAGGCTGCGCTTCCGCTCTCAAAATCCATGCATTATCAACTGCATTACCGTTAAGAGCTGCTTTTTGTGAGTCCTAAAACTTCCCATTAGCGCTGCATGAAATTGTCACTTTTGCACTTGTTTTTAAGGACACACCTCAAATATTGCCACCACTCCCACAGGTAAATTGCCAAACCTGGTGTTAGGTCTGTAAAATGCCAGTGCGCCAGTTTTTCCATGACGAAATTGCAAACTAACGTGCGTTTGACACTTGCGCCTCCTTAGCGCCAGCCAAAAAAGGGCCCAGGATGTTAAAGGAAAAATATTGAACATTTTATTCACAAATACCTACAGGACAGTAGCTCTCCAGGAACAGGGTTGGAAAACCCCGTTCTATCCCAAATGTAAATTCTATTACTCCAATGTTTACAAACAAGAATTTCCGTAGCCCCATGATTCAGCTGTACACCAAAACAAGTAGTGGGCTGCCATTTTGCTGAAAGATGAATCCCAGACTGTAGCTTTAAATCTTTGAACAGATGAGGGGCTCTAAATTGAAGGACAGACTCACTCTTCCATATATGACTTGTGAGAGAAACCTCTACCTTGCAACTGTGCTCTGCTTGACCATTTTCTGGCGTGCACTCCTGGAACCTGAGGCATCAACCACAGAGAAACCCCCGGAAGAGTTGGGGAATCCATGAGCTGCCACATATTTGCGGTAGGCTTCACGAATAATACGAAAGGCTTGTGTGTTGGCATAGGGGATGTCTGTAACTGGGTCTCTGTACAGTGCAGCCTTGTGGGTGACAGGACAGACTTCCTGGGTGGGGGGCTGGGAGCCGGTCCGCACTGCCTGGGGGAAGGCAGCCTCAAAGGCCTCCTCATCGCTAAAGGTGATGTAAGTGCGGGAGCAAAGACCTCCCAAGGGTTGCTGGGAAGGCATGGGACTTGGTGCCACAGCAGCAACGGGCAGCGGTGTGTCCTGGTCTAACCTTTAAAAAAACAAATACAAACATTTGAGTTAGTGGTACATAGACTCCCTGGCTAAATAAAGGTTAAATATGTAATAAAACATCAGCCTACCGACAAAGGGCAATAATAGCTTTATTGTAAACAATGCTGTACTCTACTCCAGGTTTAGACTGTGCCCATTGCCAAGTAGCCTAGGATACAGTGGCTACTTGGGCATAAATAACAAATGAGACAAAAAATACATCCAATATTATTTTCACATCCAAACTTGATTTCAGCAAAACGGCTGCTGCATCCTGTCTGCGTGTTCTTTTGATTTAAGATAGCAATGTTGCTTTTCATTCTAAATATGGTGTTCCAAAATCAATGGAAATAAGGTATGCAGTTAGGGCTGTGGCGGTCATGAAATTTTGTCAGCCGGTTGTCATCATGCCGGTCTCACAGAAATTGACTGGTAATTAACATAAACACGTTTAACATCTCCAGGGCTCCATGCATACAAGCCGTATATAAGCCGCTGTCTAATAAATCAATTGAATATACACCATCACAATAAATCCAGTATTTATTTCAGGCAGGTCTAAAGAAACATAAAGAACAGAATATAATGAGTTAGCCAGATAACATTACATTTACATTTACATTTTAGTCATTTAGCAGACGCTCTTATCCAGAGCGACTTACAGGAGCAATTAGGGTTAAGTGCCTTGCTTAAGGGCACATCGACAGATTTTTCACCTAGTCGGCTCGGGGATTAGAACCAGCGACCTTTCGGTTACTGGCACAACGCTCTTACCCACTAAGCTACCTGCCGCCCATACGGTAGGCCATGCGCTTGTTCATGTAGCTGACAAGATATGCAAATAAGTCCTTTATTTGATATTATATGATTTTATAGTAAGAAGATAATTGAACTTAGCTCAATAAAATAGAAAGGATATTTTTCACATTCTGGAGCGAGAGTGCGCATTCTGTAGCTCAGCTGGTAGAGCACGGCGCTTGTAACGCCAGGGTAGTGGGTTCGATCCCCGGGACCACCCATACACAAAAATGTATGCACACATCACTGTAAGTCGCTTTGGATAAAAGTGTCTGCTAAATGGCATATTATTTGAAGTGGCGACGTTGAGCGTAAAAGTGATCATTTGAAACAGGTCCTATATGCTAGTTTTAGAGTTATTTGGCAACTTTAGCTGTGAATGATAAACCATAGAATAGAATAGAATACCTTAGAAATCAAAAGATATTTGTGCTGCATGACTATAGGCTATTGATCATTTGAGAAAGTCGCAAAAAAAAGCTTGCGCTCTGTTCCTTGCCTCAGGCTGCAAGCTGTCCTCTCATCAAGTGATCATATTTTCATCCATCAGACTATTCTCAATTTAATATTGCCTTTACGAATATGTAAAATTAGTTTAGATTTAGAATGGCCCATTATCAAATGGGCAGGAAGAGGGGCAAAAGAAAAAAAGACATGTAATCCGTATGCACTCGAAGAGCGAAAGGAGGCCACTTTATCCGCTGGTTCATTTTACTCATGTCGGGTAGGCTACTCCAGTTGTTTCTCTGTGCGACAGGTGATATTCTGCCCAAACTCTGTTTGCCATGGGCTCTCCAACCCTGTTCCTGCAGCTACTCAGTGCTTAATTTGGGAAACCAAGTGAAATCTGTTCGGGGACATCGATAGTAAAATGTTTTCACAACTAAACATATTCCATTAAACTGTTAACAGCCCCTCTCTCTGTGCACTGGAGAAAGGAATGAAAGAGAGAGGAGGAGATGGAAATGCACAGTGGTGAGATTACCTTTAGCTAAAAAGGTAATGTGTCAGCCTATTAATTATGAAAATAAAAAAGCCCAATTACGAGGCTATTCTAAATCAAATACAAATTCACTATAATTGTAGGCTAACTCTGAATTAGTTTAATTTAGGCTAGACCAATTATGTACCAAAGATATCTTAAATCTGTATTTTTTTCTTCCATGTGTAATATGCAGTAGGCTATGTATTGTGTAACGGCACCATTATTTTAATTCAGGGGTCTCTCAGGCTTGGGCTCATATTGGCCTATGCATATGCATAAGCTTTAATATGCATATGGTTGTTGTTAATTAATCATCACATTAGAAAGCACTGTCTATTTCGTTGTGTTAGGCTTTGAAACATCCACAATGACCATGTTTTCCGGTTGTTTAACTTCTTTCTTCAAATTGATTAATCACAGTGAGGTGGGTTTTAAAAGCACGTACTGTTTTGATAAGTGTTTGATGTGATTTTTGATTGCATTTGCATTGATGTCAGAATGGTTAGAGGGACAATAGAGCCCTTAGTACCAGGCCATTAGCGACCTGGTGATCATTAGTGAGTTGGGTACTTCTAACATGTCTAGAGTGCATAAGAGATTACCGTGACTCACCGGTCACATAGAATTTCACTGCCAAATCACCATTAAGTAACGTCAACCAAATAATTGAGTTTTTACTGGTACCGCATGCCTCCATCCCTTCCATATTTTTGCTAGTGGTGGCTAAAGTTAGTGGAAGTTTGTTGTGGCTGTTTAAAGAACACTGAACCTTAGATTACAGTTTCTCCTGGCCGAGGTTTCTTGGGTCCCAGGTCGGGTCTAGGGTATGGATTGACCCGTGAAGACCTCTAATTCACACAAAAGAATGCATCAAATGCATCGTTAAAAATGAAGCAAACTTTTGAAGAAAATATTGTGTATGATGTATTTTCTAACCATTTATCCAGGGCAGGCATTATGGGCGGGCCTTAGGGGGCTGTACCTCCTTGCCCGTCCAAATAAAATATTGAAATATTGATAATTTATTTGTCCGAGACTCTCGCCGACACAAAGACGCATCAATCTCATATAACGCATCCAAGTGAGCGAAACAGCGCCCCTCTGTCTCAGTATGTGTAGACCATGTATCTGATGCTGTCTGGACAAAAAGAGTATGGTATGTCATACTATTTCTGGCCAGACAGGATCAGATACATGGGCTACATATAGTATGACAGAGGGGCGCTGTTTCGCTCGCTCGGATGCTTTGTCAGGTGATAGTTTCAGCAGAGAGGAAGAGGCGAAGCGAAAGGGCTCACTCACCAAAATCTTTACAGAATAAGCCCAATGAGTTTTTATGGACATATTACGCAGACCTAAACTTGTAGCCTGCCTTCCCGCCTTTGTGACAATGACTCCCATTGTCAGGACGGACACGTGCATCTCGTCATTATATACAGATCTCTGGTTTCAGCCTCATGCGAATTGGAAAGAATAAGTTGTCGATTGCACAGTTCAGATGCTGGCTTCCCCTAAAGTAAATTGATGTTTTGCCAAAACTATATAATTACCCATCTAAATAAAATAATTCACCAGAGCATGACTTAGCTTAGGATCATTGTTTTGAAAAAAATAGCTGTGGATTGTTTCAAATCACAAGTGCATAGTTCTGCAATTTGGGCAGCGAGTGTGGCAATAGGCCTAGCTGATTGAGTTACTGCTGTCAGTGAAAAGCATCTAAAATGTATGTCAAGATAATGTTGCAACATGAAGGGGAGGGGTGCGTTGCGAAGATATGGCACTTCTTTCTCCAGAATACATGCACTCAGCTCTCCAGAATGCGCTCAGCTGTTTCACGCCAATTCCTGCTCACTCATTCATCCTGCTCATTCAATTGTTTGCTCTTTGTATATTTTTTATCAATTCCCCATTACGTCACCAGTAGGTCTAGTAAATGTACAGTTAATCCTCCGTCATCTGGTTACATTCATTTCTGTTAATGCATGTATTAATTACAGTCATTTAGCCTACCATTCTCATTATTGGAGTGGAAATGTTGTTTGCAGAGTTCACAACCTGCTACACTTGTGAGAAACAAGTTTTGGTTAATTTCATAACAATCATTTACGAGTTTTGTAATTTATTTGATTGTGTTTTGTTTGGAGTGCTTCATGTGAGCAATGAGCACGTGTCTGGTTTCTCTCTAGGAACATACAGCGGGAGCGTGCGTACCTGAACACACAGAAGTAGGCCTCCCTGGCCTGCTGCTTGCATATGTAGAAAAGTGCCCATTTGGGATGTCTGATTTCCGATTGTCTTAACTCATGTGATAGAAAAATTACAAGACTGTGTTTAATACTATTTATGCATCAAATGGTTGTTTTATGCAATAGAATAGGGTTCTTAGAACTCTCATCTGTGTCTGTGTGAACCGAGAGGAGCATCTGAAGCTTGGGCTGGCAACTGATTAAGTGATGGCTAGGTGATAAAACCAACAGCCACATTCCATTCTATGATTAGTGGTGCGTGAAAGGGAGATGTCTCCAGTCTGACCTTTTGACCCATTCCACACATCTGCTGTTTGTCATGTAGACTAAGAGGGTGTATCTTTGCTATAAAATATCTTTGTATTCTTTGTATGTCAGAGCTCTCGGCCCAACACTCAAGAGTGTTGGGTCGACCAGCCTCAGTATTACAGAGCACTCACTCCATTCACGTGTGTGGGTTATTAATACGTTTTGAATAAAGTAATATCCTGATTGGTGATTGACCTTGTCTCTCCTCATTATTGATTAGAATTTCCACGACACTCACCATGTCCACCACTAATAAGCTGAGCTTCTCAGCCATTTTTTCTTCACCTCACACAGTAAGTAATCAAAGTCAGTTTTTTGTTTTTACATCCTTTGCAAATAATAACAGTTCTTCGCAGTACTTGAACAATCTTTCCAACACTCTCCCAGCCTCGATGTGAAAGAAAACCATCTGATGATCCCCTATTTCCAGTGGAAACTTCAAAAAACAGTCTGTCCTGAGCTCACTGGTGCGGGAAACTCTAGGCAGACAGGCGTAGCAGAGCGAATCATGTTATTTGAAAGAATCCGAATTTTCATCAGGATATTTTTGTGTTTTTATTTTTCGGCATTAGGCTTATGTATTTTATTTAGTTGAAGATTGAAGTTATAGGCCTACTGCTGCATTGGCTATCTCGGAGTTCAATTTCTTTAGCCCCAATGGATCACAGTGTAGGCTATCAATGTGTCCATATGGCAGAGGCTGGTGCTCTCGCCTTAGTTGCATTTTAACTTTCAGATTTGTATCATTTTTAATTCAGATTCAGATTCAGATGTGCAAGCGCGTGCACACAGGAGGTCCCTTGAAAAAACGTGCCCGCCTATGGAAATCAAAGGCCCGTCTGCCGCCAGCCCTGCATTTATCCAGATACCGGAATGGTTTTAATGATCTGTTTCTAATAGCATTGCTACATTCTCCAAAAATGTTAACCAGATTGTCTTGTAAAAAATACTGAAACTCAATGCAGACATTTTGCCTATTTTTTCAGCAAAGCAAAACACTCACACCCTTAAAAATGAGTCTCCTTACCCTTCCACATCCACATTTTCCTCTTTTAAGATGGAGTGGGGCACCAGGGGCATGAGGACAGAGTGGTAGCGGATGGTGGGACCCTCAAATCGCCGCTTCTTATGGACCTGTTTTTTCTTGTCGGCCTCAAGACGCTCGTAGTTCTCTTTAAAATAAAAACATACAGAAATGGTCAATTAACACGACCCTAGCCAAGCTACGGACATATTTTCTCACATTGTTCAGTATGCACAGCCATGTGTTGTGTCTTTTAGCACTAGGTATTTTTCCTAACCCTAACCCTATTCAGGTAGTCTAAACATCTGCAATTACGGTGTGCACTTCCTTGTATTTTTGCAGTTTCTAGTTACTGTTTCACTGTGCCTATATATGATGGCCGCTATGGACCGTGATGTTATGAATCAGTAAACTTAGTTGAACTTGAACCACATCATCATTATTGGGAATTAACATGGCAACTCTTGACTATTGAGATTCCCCCTTTAGTCTTACCCAGTGATCGGAGGTTGACCTCAGCAGTTATTTTGGCCTCAGCCAGCAACTCTTCCTGGGTCAGGGGTCGGTCGTGGTGGGCTCCCCTCCGCCGTCGTGGGGCATCCTGTCTTTCTTGCAGTCGCAGGTTGGTCTTCCGCGTATGCTCGCTGGTCGACTGGCGCACAGACTTCCGAGCTGGGGAAGAGTTGCCAGTCAGTGACAAGGCTTACAGGGATGTTCCACTCAAAATACAATTTAACATGACTAAATTAGTCAATTCCCCAATAGCTGTCTGCATTAGATTTGACACTATTGGCTAAATCAGAGTTAGAAAAGGTAGAGGACGCACCTCCTATCTTTGCCATTAGTCGCTTCTGTGACAGCATGTGTAACCTTGTGGGTGGCTATCTCCCTTGTAAAGTAGTCAAATGCCTTATTATTTGGGGGGTTTTAAATGGGCATTAAGCCAACGTTAATGATTTACTGCCCACAGCAGTGCTGGACTGTTGCTCAGGCGTATAATTAATTGGCTGTTCCCTCCTGGATGGAATTCTGTGATCCCCATAACCCATAGCAAGTTCCATCCAGCTGCAAGTTCCACCAAGTTATGTTGCATGCTATGAGTCTTTTGTCCCGAGTGTGCCCTGTACCATTTCTTACTATGTGTTCTTACATATGACTATTTTCACAAATTTAATGTAGCCACATTTTTCAGAAAGGGATACTGACAACATACAATATGACTTAAATACCTAGAAACAGTCGAGGAATCGTCTACAGCGAAGGACAGTGGAAAAAATCATGTTAGGTTGAATTTTGACTGGAACATCCCATTAAGAGACAACAGCACATACTTTAGACAATTATTTCACTTTCCTTTCTTGAGATTATTTAAAGCTACAATCTGCGATTGGTCCATCCATTTCAGAACTTTTAAATGAATGATTCTTAAAGCCATTGATTCTTGAAGAATATAACTTATAAATGCCTTTTGAGTACAATTGTCTTACCCTAATTGAACCCAAAATATATGCATGTCAAAATACAAGTCACACCCCTCAGCAAGTGGCAGGGTGGCCGTTTTTGTTTTTTCTTTGGATCCCATACTGTAGCTTTAAGTGTGGCAACAGCATTAAACATACCCTGAGGAAAGAGTCATTGCTTTTTACAATTATTGAACTTATGTTATGCTACATTGACAAACCAAACGCAATAGTATATTTTGCAATGCCACATGATGCTATAGCTTAGGGGATGCAATACATGGAAATTGCATAAAAAAAGGTTGATGATTTTAATAGAGTTCTTGGCATTCAAAAGTTACATTTTTTAAATCCCTTGCTGCAGCATACTACATTGCTCGTGTAAAAAAATATATCGTAGAGCGATACCAAGTTAAATAGCCATCATCGAAAGCTGAATTTACAGTGCATCCGGAAAGTATTCAAACCCCTTCACTTATTCCACATTTTGTTACGTTACAGCCTTATTCTAAAATTGATTAAATCGTTCCCACCCCCCCCTCATCAATCTACACACAATACCCCATAATAAAAAAGCAAAAACAGGTATTTCGAAATGTTTGCAAATGTATAAAAAAAAAAAATAACGGAAATATCACATTTACATAAGTATTCAGACCCTTCACTCAGTAATTTGTTGAAGCACCTTTGGCAGCGATTACAGCCTTGAGTCTTCTTGGGTATGACGCTACAAGCTTGGCACACCTGTATTTGGGGAGTTCCTCCCATTCTTCTCTGCAGATCATCTCAAGCTCTGTCAGGTTGGATGGGGAGCGTCGCTGCACAGCTATTTTCAGGTCTCTCCAGATATATTCGATCGGGTTCAAGTCCGGGCTCTGGCTGGGTCACTCAAGGACATTCAGAGACTTGTCCCGAAGCCACTCCTGTGTTGTCTTGGCTGTGTGCTTAGGGTCGTTGTCCTGTTGGAAGGTGAACTGTCGCCCCAGTCTGAGGTCTTGAGCGCTCTGGAGCATGTTTTCATCAAGGATCTCTCTGTACTTTGCTCCGTTCATCTTTCCCTCGATCCTGACTAGTCTCCCAGTCCCTGCCACTGAAAACATCCCCACAGCATGATGCTGCCACCACGCTTCACCGTAGGGATGGTGCCAGGTTTCCTCCAGACGTGACGCTTGGCATTCAGGTCAAAGAGTTCAATCTTGGTTTCATCAGACCAGAGAATCATGGTCAGAGTCCTTTACGTGCTTTTGGCAATCTCCAAGCGGGCTATCATGTGCATTTTACTGAGGAGTGGCTTCCGTCTGGCCACTACCATAAAGGCCTGATTGGTGGAGTGCTGCAGAGATGGTTGTCCTTCTGGAAGGTTCTCCCATCTCCACAGAGGAACTCTGGAGCTCTGACAGAGTGACCATTGGTTTCTTGGTCACCTCCCTGACCAAGGCCCTTCTCCCCCGATTGCTCAGTTTGGCCGGGCGGCCAGCTCTAGGAAGAATATTCCAAATCAAATCAAATTTTATTGGTCCCACATTGGTGGTTCTAAACTTCTTCCATTTAAGAATGATGGAGGCCACGGTGTTCTTGAGGACCTTCAATGCTGCAAAAATGTTTTGGTACCCTTCCCCAGATCTGTGCCTCGACACAATCCTGTCTCGGAGCTCTACGGACAATTCCTTCGACCTCATGGCTTGGTTTTTGCTCTGACATGCACTGTCAACTGTGGGACCTTATATAGACAGGTGTGTGCCTTTCCAAATCATGTCCAATCAATTGAATTTACCACAGGTGGACTCCGATCAAGTTGCAGAAACATCTCAAGGATGATCACTGGAAACAGGATGCACCTGAGTTCAATTTCGAGTCTCATAGCAAAGGGTCTGAATACTTATGTAAATACATTTGCACAAATTTCAAAAAACCTGTTTTCGCTTTGTCATTATGGGGTATTGTGTGTATATTGATGAGGAAAACATTTAAATTTAACTTAGCTGAAAATAAAGCCCGTACAGATAGAGGCCTCTTACTCTCTCCAAACTCCTGAAACTCTTGCGGTGCCCTCCTCTCCACTTTGGCTTTCTCAGTCTTCTTCAGCTCCTCTGAGGGCCTCTTTGGTTTAGGCTTAGTCACCTTCAGAGGTTCCTTGGAATAAAACATTTATTATTTTTACAAACACTTGGCCTCATCTATCAACATGTGTATGAAAAATGCATGCAAAACCCACAAAATATATTCAAGTCCATTCACCTCGGAAGTTCATACTTTGATAAATCTCACTTTTCATAAATTGCATTATCTAAAATGATTAAGGCTGTCCCCAACAAAGAAAAAAACTTGGTTGACCAAGAGTCCGTTCTTTTGACCAAATTGTAAAACTTGTATTTTTCCATATATTGACATCCTATAGTGCACTCGGAAAGTATTCAAACCCCTTCACTTTTTCACATTTTGTTACGTTACAGCCTTATTCTAAAATGGAATAAATAAAGTATTTTCCTCATCAATCTACATACAATACCCCATAATGACAACGCGAAAACAGGTTTTTTGAATTTTTTCAAACCTAGCGCTCAGGCCCTCAGACTGGGGCGCAGGTTTACTTTCCAACAGGACAACGACCCTAAGCAAACAGCCAAGACAACACAGGTGTGGCTTTGGGACAAGTCTCTGAATGTCCTTGAGTGGCCCAGCCAGAGCCCGGACTTGAACATCTCTGGAGAGACCTGAAAATAGCTGTGCAGCGATGCTCCCTGTCCAACCAGACAGAGCTTGAGTTGATCTGCAGAGAAGAATGGGAGAAACTCCCCAAATACAGGTGTGCCAAGCTTGTAGCGTCATACCCAAGAAGACTCGAGGCTGTAATTGCTTCAACAAAGTACTGAGTAAAGGGTCTGAATACTTATCACATTTACATATGTATTTTTTTGTTTATTTTTTTGTTGTTGCTACAATTCAAAAAACCTATTTTTGCTTTGTCATTATGGGGTAATGTGTGTAGATTTGAGGGAAAAAAAACAATTTAATCAATTTTAAAATAAGGCTGTAACGTAACTAAATGTGGAAAACCTGAAGGGGTCTGAATACACTGTAGGTAATATAACCATATACAATTTCAATGTCTTAGACTGATGGACTGTGCCATCCCCACGGCCTCCACAATGGATCAGTCCACTCAGACAGGCGCGTATAAGACAGGTGTCTTGTACACCATGATATTTTGTTTTTTGGCTACTGCTCGACTAAAATAAATCTTGGTCGACCAACCGAATTGGGTAAGCCCTAAAAACGATAGCAAAATCAAACTATGCATATCAATGATGAGGATATTGATGTCTCATGGTAGGGTAGCGGGTCCAAAATGGGTTAACTTTGAGCATCTTCTGCTCTTGAATGGATGGTCATACTGGAGTTTTATGCCAAGATGATGTTCTATCAATGGGTTTGCTAAAGTCTGTTAGGCATAACGTGGCCCTGATTCTAGCCATTTCTCTCATGGGTAAATGTGCATGGGAATTTTTGTTAAAATCAAAAGGTTATTAATTCAATATGGAGTGATCCAATATGAACTTTTAGTTGTAGTCTAGTGGTTATCAACACTTTATGATTTAAAAGAAATGGTAGCTCACAGTAAACATGATTCAACAAGGTAAAATGGATCGCCTATGTTCGCTGAGTTAGCACACTCACTGTTAAGTTAGCTCATCCTGATAAGTCCTATTGTCAAAATATTGGCACTGCCTTTCACTGGAACTGGTTTTGAAAAGGTCTACTTTGTTTTCTCAGCAGAGCATAGTAAAGAGCCTTTCTTTATACTAGTGTTCTTCAAGCCTGTTTCTGAGGTCCCCCAGGGGTGCACATTATTGTGGATGTTCGGTAGAAGTAGTGAGGATGCAAGTGCATTAAGTTACCTTATAAGCTTTGGTGACAACTCGACTCTTCCTGCGAGGAGCATCCTCCTCCTGGTCACTATCAGGCTCGTCACCCTCATCTATGTCAAAGTCACTGTCGACCTCGTCCTCTGTGTCCGAGTGCTCCCCTCTGTACTCATCATCTCCTGATTCCTTGAGGGAGAGTCCAAATCAAACATACATATTAATAATGGTCGATAGCGAATTGGGAACAAGCATGGCCGAATACATTTATTTTAAATTTTTTACATGGTACAAATGCACCCATAAAGCAACACATTCTACTTAAAGTTTTTTAAATTGCCGGTGTCCAGGAGTTATAATTGGGAGCATACATACTCTTTGCTAATGCAGTTACAAAAACAGAGAACCAGAGGGCAAGCTACAATACGGCAAAGAAAGCAAACAAGTAAGTGCATTGAGGCCGCCATCTTTATGCATGCCAGCTAGTAGAAATAAGCTCAAGAGAGAAATATCTACATTTTCAGTGCGACCCTCCGGACCTTGTTGAAGACCGAATGCGGCCCCGGGGCAAAATGAGTTTGACACGCCTGCATTAGGCCTAAGTGCTTTAAATCGTTCTGTAGTCTAAGGAATGTCCGTTTTGAAACGTTTGCTGTATACTCACATCTGTCCTTTGTAGCTATATGTTGCTAAATTGAACGTGAATGGGCAAATGCTTATGTTTGTGCTTTTCTAATAACCAATATCTGTGTTCATGCAAGTGACTGATTGAACGAATTCTCTCTATCAGCATCTGCAATTTTGCAGTATGCCTTGAACCTTGTTTTGAGAACGAAAGATCTCAGTTTCGAGGTCTCAGCTTAGAGAGAAAAAGCCTTGTGGGGTATTGGTCTGACATGCATGAACCAGTATTGGTCGGTCACATGAATGAAGCAAACGTTAATGATGAATTAATTATAAATGAGCTAAATCATGCAAATATAACCCTAACCCTAACTAACAGGACTGCCCCGGGAGAGCTCCTGATCGACATGTGTACATTGAGTTGGTTGGAACCTCTCCAGCGTGCTGATAATAAAGAATGATTCATTTAAGATTGACTTCGAGTGTCCCTGTGTAGAATTTCCACGACAATGGCATAATGGGTGGACTGGTGGCCATTGCGAGTGTACCCATATGAGCAAAACAGGAAGTAAAATATGTGCTAAAATATGTGCTGTGATTTCTTGATTCACATTACAAAAAATACATTACATTGCATGAGCTAAATCAGTTATCATTTGAATTAACATTCTACATTACCATTGAAATTATTGCATCACGAGCGTAGCCATGACTTAACCAGTACAATTGCCAGGGTTAGAGGTTCCTAGCCTGTGTGCTGCTGCATTGTGGTCATTCGATCAGCTGTTCGTTCAACAAATATAAATAATCACACATGCCAGTTTATAAGGTACACCACCCTGTTCATGAAAAAAGGTAGCTCCTAAAGACAGTGAGTCACGTGGCCGTGGCTTGCTATATAAAGCAGGCAGACAGGCATCGAGGCATCCAGTTACCATTCGTTTGAACGTTAGAATGGGCAAAACGAGTAACCTAAGCGACTTTGAGCGTGGTATGACCATCGGTGCCAGGCACGCCAGATCCAGTATCTCAGAAACAGCCACCCTCCTGGGCTTTTAATGCACGACAGCGTCTAGGGTTTACCGAGAACGGTGCGACAAACAAACAAACATCCAGTCAGCGGCGGTCCTGTGGGCGAAAACAGCTAGTTGATGAGAGGTCAAAGGAGAATGGCAAGAATCGTGCAAGCTAACAGGCGGGCCACAAAAGGCATCTCGGAACGCACAACTCGTCAATCCTTGTCACGGATGGGCTATTGCAGCAGACGACCACACCAGGTTCCACTCCTATCAACTAAAAACAAGAAGAAGCGGCTCCAGTGGGCACGCGATCACCAACACTGGACAATTGAGGAGTGGACAAACATCGTCTGGTCCAACGAATCCCGGTTCCTGTTGCGTCATGCTGATGGCAGAGTCAGGATTTGGAGTAGGCAGCATGAGCCCATGGACCCATCCTGCCTGTTCTCAACGTTACAGGCTGGTGGCAGTGGTATACCACTGTCCAATGTGCAGCAACTGCGTGATGCCATCATGTCAGCGTGAACCAACATCCCTGTGGAATGTTTCCGACTTGTAGAATCCATGCCCCGAAGAATTCAGGCTGTTCTGGAGGTAAAGGGTACTTGATTGGTGTACCTAAAAAAAAAAAACTGTCCAGTGAGTGCATAGATCCTACAAGTGTCTGGAACTCTATTGGAGGGATGGGACACCATTCTTCCACAAGAAATTCCATCATTTGGTATTTTGTTGATGGAGGTGGAAAACGCAGTCTCAGGCGCCGCTCCAGAATCTCCCATACAGTGAGGGAAAAAGTATTTGATCCCCTGCTGATTTTGTACGTTTGCCCACTGACAAAGAAAAGATCAGTCTATAATTTTAATGGTAGGTTTATTTGAACAGTGAGAGACAGAATAACAACAAAAAAATCCAGAAAAACGCATGTCAAAAATGTTATAAATTGATTTGCATTTTAATGAGGGAAATAAGTATTTGACCCCCTCTCAATCAGAAAGATTTCTGGCTCCCAGGTGTCTTTTATACAGGTAACGAGCTGAGATTAGGAGCACACTCTTAAAGGGAGTGCTCCTAATCTCAGTTTGTTGCCTGTATAAAAGACACCTGTCCACAGAAGCAATCAATCAATCAGATTCCAAACTCTCCACCAGGGCCAAGACCAAAGAGCTCTCCAAGGATGTCAGGGACAAGATTGTAGACCTACACAAGGCTGGAATGGGCTACAAGACCATCGCCAAGCAGCTTGGTGAGAAGGTGACAACAGTTGGTAAGATTATTCGCAAATGGAAGAAACACAAAACAACTGTCAATCTCCCTCGGCCTGGGGCTCCATGCAAGATCTCACCTCGTGGAGTTGCAATGATCATGAGAACGGTGAGGAATCAGCCCAGAACTACACGGGAGGATCTTGTCAATGATCTCAAGGCAGCTGGAACCATAGTCACCAAGAAAACAATTGGTAACACACTACGCCGTGAAGGGCTGAAATCCTGCAGCGCCCGCAAGGTCCCCCTGCTCAAGAAAGCACATATACAGGCCCGTCTGAAGTTTGCCTAGCCAGTCTCCAGACCTTAATCCCATAGAAAATCTGTGGAGGGAGCTGAAGGTTCGAGTTGCCAAACGTCAGGCTCGAAACCTTAATGACTTGGAGAAGATCTGCAAAGAGGAGTGGGACAAAATCCCTTCTGAGATGTGTGCAAACCTGGTGGCCAACTACAAGAAACGTCTGACCTCTGTGATTGCCAACAAGGGTTTTGCCACCAAGTACTAAGTCATGTTTTGCAGAGGGGTCAAATACTTATTTCCCTCATTAAAATGCAAATCAATTTATAACATTTTTGACATGCGTTTTTCTGGATTTTTTTGTTGTTATTCTGTCTCTCACAGTTCAAATAAACCTACCATTAAAATTATAGACTGATCATGTCTTTGTCAGTGGGCAAACGTACAAAATCAGCAGGGGATCAAATACTTTTTTCCCCTCACTGTGTATGTGTATATATATATATATATACACATACATACACACTTTTTTATTTTTTAAAGTAATTTAGCATATACACAAATATATACACACACATACATACATAACCAGTCAAAAGTTGACACACCTACTTAATCAAGGGTTTTTCTTAATTTTTACTATTTTCGACATTGTAGAATAATAGTGAAGATATCAAAACTTTGAAATAACACATATGGAATATGTTAAACAAATCAAAATATATTTTATATTTGAGATTCTTCAAAGTAGCCACCATTTGCCTTGATGACAGCTTTGCACAATCTTGGCATTCTCGCAACCAGCTTCATGAGGTAGTCACCTGGAATGCATTTCAATTAACAGGTGCGCCTTCTTAAAAGTTAATTTGTGGAATTTCTTTCCTTCTTAATGCGTTTGAGCCAATCAGTAGTGTTGTGACAAGGTAGGGGTGGTATACAGAAGTTAGCCCTATTTGGTATAAGACCAAATCCATATTATGGCAAGAACAGCTCAAATAAGCAAATAGAAACGACAGTCCATCATTACTTTAAGACATGAAGGTCAGTCAATACGGGAACATTTCAAGAACTTTGAGCGTTTCTTCAAGTGCAGTCGCAAAAACCATAAAGCGCTATGATGCAACTGGCTCTCATGAGGACGCCACAGGAATGGAAGACCCAGAGTTACCACTGCTGCAGAGGATAAGTTAATTAGAGTTACCATCGTCAGAAATTGCAGTCCAAATAAATGCTTCACAGAGTTCAAGTAACAGACATCTAAACATCAACTGTTCAGAGGAGACTGTGTGAATTAGGCCTTCATGGTCAAATTGCTGCAAAGAAACCACTACTAAAGGACACCAATAAGAAGAAGAGACTTGCTTGGGCCAAGAAACACGAGCAATGGACATTATACAGGTGGAAATATGTCCTCGTCTGGAGTCCAAATGTGAGATTTTTGGTTCCAACCGCCGTGTCTTTGTGAGACGCGGTGTGGGTGAACGGATGATCTCCGCATCTCCACTGTTTTGCTGGTGACACTGTGATTTATTTAGAATTCAAGGCACACTTAACCAGCATGGCTACCACAGCATTCTGCAGCAATACGCCATCCCATCTTGTTTGGGCTTAGTGGGACTATCATTTGCTTTCCAACAGGACAATGACCCAACACACCTCCAGGCTGTGTAAGGGCTATTTTACCAAGAAGGAGAGTGATGAGGTGCTGCATCAGATGACCTGGCCTCCACAATCCCCCAACCTCAACCAAATTGAGGTGGTTTGGGATGAGTCGGACCGGAGAGTGAAGGAAAAGCAGCCAACAGGTGCTCAGCATATATGGGAACTCCTTCAAGACTGTTGCAAAAGCATTCCAGGTGAAGCTGGTTGAGAGAATGCCAAGCTGTCATCAAGGCAAAAGGGTTGCTTTTATATCTCAAATATAAAACACTTTTTTGGCTACTACATGATTCCATATGCATTATTTCGTAGTTTTGATGTCTTCACTGTTATTCTACAATGTAGACAATAGCAAAATAAAGAAAAACCCTTGAATGAGCAGGTGTTCTAAACTTTTGACCGGTAGTGTACATTGTTTTGTTCACAAGCTCAGTTGTTTTTCAACATTAGTTTGAGTCTGCTGCTTCAACTTATAGACATCCTAGTCAGATCCCTTCTCTCTCTCACACACACACACACACACACAGGACAGGACTCCAGTAGCCCTGTTACCACAGTAACCTTCTGCCCTTAAAGGAGAAGCTGAACATTTTGTCTCTGATATTTTGATTAAAAAAGACTCGGGTCACATTTTTATGAAATTGAGCAATACACCACATTACTGCTTACTAAAACTTTTTTTGTTATTAAAAATTAACCATGGCATCGTTTTTTAAATGTATTACTGCAAAACAAAAATATTAGATTTTTTTTTTTTATCTACCTGCCACAGTGGCTGGTGGACCAAACAGTTCATTTTAGGCCCTGTCACTAAAGATCACATGGCACTTATTTTAAGAGTAGTGGTGTTAACCCCGGTGTCCTGGCTAAATTCCCAATCCGGCCCTCATACCATTATGGCCACCTAATCATCCCCAGCTTCCAATTGGCTAATTCCTATCCCCTGTAACTATTCCTCAGGTCGTTGCTGTAAATGAGAAGAGTTAAATAAAATACAAAAGTATCTTTGTTTGAAGAACTGCAACCCTCAACAGTTTCCCATGTGTATCAAGAATGGTTCACCAGCCAACTTGACACGACTGTGGGAAGCATTGGAGTCAACATGGGCCAGCATTAAGTGGAACGCTTTCGACACCTTGTAGTCCATGCCCAACGAATTGAGGCTGTTCTGATGGCAAACGGGGGTGCCACTCAATATTAGGAAGGTGTCCTTAAGTTTTCTACACTCAGATATGGAAAAATAATTAAATATCTTAATTTAGGATGATAGTGAATGAAGCAAACTCACAGATTTGTTAAATAATCACATATTCCTCACTCAGTAGTTAAACCATTTAGAGATGTAAATAATGCTCCTATGCACAATTTAACCAGGGGGTCTGTGCAGCAGCAGGATGAACGTTTGACGTCCCTACTCTATTCTCTGTCTCTTGAAATGAAAACACTGCAGCTGAAGTAGAAACCCCCTGAATTTAGAAAGCGGACCATCTCTTCCAAATCCTGTGATCTGGGGACTGTGTAGTGCTAGCTCCATTGTTACGGTAAGCTTCGTTTCCCGATCACTACTGCGACGCGACAGCTAGCCAGCTAAAGTAGCTACTTACGTCGTTGAATCCGCCGTATGTGGTCTTGTAGAATTCATCTTCTTCTTCAGCATCTAATAACTTAGACATGCGGTTCCCCGCCGTCTTACGGGGCTCTTTGCTAAATGCTACACTCATTATGACCTAGCTCAGCTAGATTAATAGGGAATGTGCTACCTAGCTCAGAAATATAACGTTTTTGTTGTTAGCTAGCTACCACAAAAGACAATGCATGCAGCTAATGACGAGGATATGGTGCGACATGCTTTTTCTTCTTCAGGTTAGACGGCACTACAGAACATTCTTCTTGTTCTTCTTCGAGAAAGTTTAACGGCGGTTGGCATCCAATTTGTTGCATTACCGCCACCTACTAGACTGGAGTATAATGCCCTTACATTTTGTTTGAAAAATAAAATAAAGAAATACCCTACCATCTAACACTACACTCACAAATTCTAAAATATTATTAATAATTAACACCACCCTACTCCACTATTTAAATATATGTATTCCTACCTCATGCCCTCAACCTGAAATGATGGGACATCACCACTTAACACTCCCTGTGACTCTTCTGATGTCAAGTCTCGCACACCCAAATACCTCTCTGCAGCTGCGACCACAACCTCAATTTTCTTCGACTTACATTCCATCCCTGCAGTACAATTAATAACCATTGCTATGAATGCTAAAAATCCAATCTTACTGAAACATACACTACTGTTCAAAAGTTTGGGGTCACTTAGAAATGTCCATTGTTTTCGATTAAAATAACATCAAATTGATCAGAAGTACAGTATAGACATTGTTAATGTTGTAAATGGCTATTGTAGCTGGAAACGGCTGATTTTTAATGGAATATCTACATAAGTGTACAGAGGCCCATTATCAGCAACCATCAGTCCTGTGTTCCAATGGCACGTTGTGTTTGCTAATCCAAGTTTATCATTTTAAAAGGCTAATTGATCATTAGAAAACCCTTTTGCAATTATGTTAGCACAGCTGAAAACACTGAAAACCCCAGTCTCAATGTCAACAGTGAAGAGGCGACTCCGGGATGCTGACCTTCTAGGCAGAGGTGCAAAGAAAAAGCCATATCTCAGACTGCCAATCTTAATCTTTTATTTTTATTGGCCTGTCTGAGATATGGCTTTTTCTTTGCAACTCTGCCTAGAAGGTCAGCATCCCGGAGTCGCCTCTTCACTGTTGACTTTGAGACTGGTGTTTTGCGGGTACTATTTAATGAAGCTGCCAGTTGAGAACCTGTGAGGCGCCTGTTTCTCAAACTAGACACTCTAATGTATTTGTCCTCTTGCTCAGTTGTGCACCGGGGCCTCCCACTCCTCTTTCTATTCTGGTTAGAGACAGTTTGCGCTGTTCTGTGAAGGGAGTAGTACACAGCGTTGTACGAGATCTTCAGTTTCTTGGCAATGTCTCGCATGGAATAGCCTTCATTTCTCAGAACAAGAATAGACTGACGAGTTTCAGAAGAAAGTTCTTTGTTTCTGGCCATTTTGAGCCTATAATCGAACCCACACTAGTCTCAAGAAGGCCAGTTTTATTGCTTCTTTAATCAGCACAACAGTTTTCAGCTGTGCTAAGATACTTGCAAAAGTGTTTTCTAATGATCAATTAGCCTTTTAAAATGATAAACTTGGATTAGCAAACACAACGTGCCATTGGAACACAGGACTGATGGTTGCTGATAATGGGCCTCTGTACACTTATGTAGATATTCCATTAAAAATCAGCCGTTTCCAGCTACAATAGCCATTTACAACATTAACAATGTCTACAGTGTATTTCTGATCAATTTGATGTTATTTTAATGGATTTTTTTTGTTGCTTTTCTTTCGAAAACAAGGAAATTGCTAAGTGACCCCAATACTTTTGAACAGTAGTGTAAATCACTTGTTGGCCTATCCCACTGTACTGGTACATATCTACTACTCTCACCACTCCTCCCCCTTGACCCATCTTCCTCTACTTTCTTCACTGCCTCAGCATATGACAACATCTTCACTACTCTTACCCTGGAAAACCTCAACCTGCCTCTCTCGCACGGGACATTTCTGATCCCCAATGCTACAGATTCCTTTGTCTCATGCCCTTCTGCACACTTCTCACACATTGGAACCTCCCTCCTACACACTGCTGCCACATGCCCATAAGTTTGACACCTGTAACATCGTAATGTATTCGGAACATAAGCTCGAACAGGATAACTTATATATCCTAATTTCACTTTGTCAGGGAAAGACTCAACTTCAAAACTCAAAAGAACAGACAATGACTCTTCTGTTTCCCCACTCTCGCCACCCTGTTTGCGTCGCACCAAACGACGAGCATCACAAACACCGGGAATCTTCCCTTTCAGTTGGTAAACTTTTACATTTACTGCTACCCCAGTAATCACTCCTTTCAATGGCGCCCTTTTCTTGAGAGCGAAACAATTCACAATTCTTTCCCCCATTTGTTTAACTCTGAGCACCTTCTCCCTCTGACCAACAGAAACACAAACAATTATCACTAGACCACTTCTGGTTACTGTCACACCCTGACTTATGGGACTCTTGTATGTTGAGTCAGGGTGTGGAAATCTATGTTGTATATTCTATCTTTAGTTCTAGTTGTTCTATTTCTATGTTTGGCCGGGTGTGATTCTTTAGTAGCTTGTTTGGTATCATTAGTTGTGGGATCTTGTTCCGTGTAGAGGCTTGTATTGTGTTTAGCCTGAGGACTTCACGTTACATTGTTTTTGTTCGTGTGTTTAGTTTATAAATAAACATGTATGCATTTCACGCTGTGTCTTGGTCTGACCCATCCTTCAACGAACGTGACAGAAGATCCCACAAAAATGGACCAAGCAGCGTGCCCAGGAGCAGACATCCTGGACATGGGAGGAGATCCTGGACGGAAAGGGATCCTGGACATGGGAGGAGATTCAGGCTGGGATGGATCGCCATCCTTGGGAGGAGACAGTGGAGGCCCGGTTTAGAGAGGAGCAACGGCAACACAGAAGGCGCCGGCCGAGGAGGAAGCCCGAGAGACGGCCCCAATAAAAAAAAATTGGGGGGCTAAAAGGGTGGTCGGGGATCGATGGAGAAGAGCCCCGACCACTGCACTCGTGGGGGCTCAGGTAGGAGTCCTCACGGGAGGAGGACTGGGCGCGGAGAGTGAAAGACTGGTACAGTCGGAGATCTCTAACGTCAGTTCCCAGTCCGGTACACCTCCTGCCTGTGTCTCGCACCAAGCTAGTGGTGCGTGTGCCCAGTCCGGCCCGTTCCTGTTCCTCGCACCAAGCCAGTGGTGCGTGTTCCCAGTCCGGTACGGCCCGTGCCTGCTCCCCGCACCAAGCCAGTGGTGCGTGTTCCCAGTCCCGTACGGCCCGTTCCTGTTCCTCGCACCAGGCCAGTGGTACGTGTCTCCAGTCTGGCCCGGCCCGTTCCTGCTCCTCGCACCAGACCAGTGGTGCGTGTTCCCAGTCCGGCCCATTCCTGCTCCTCGCACCAGACCAGTGGTGCGTGTTCCCAGTCCGGCCCGTTCCTGTTCCTCGCACCAAGCCAGTGGTGCGTGTCGCCAGCCCGGTACGACCCGTACCGGCTCCCCGCACCAAGCCAGTGGTGTGTGTCCCCAGTCCGGCCCGGCCCGTTCCTGCTCCTCGCACCAGACCAGTAGTGCGTGTTCCCAGTCCGGCCCGGCCCGTTCCTCGCACCAAGCCAGTGGTGCGTGTTCCTAGTCCGGTCTGGCCCATGCCTGCTCCTCGCACCAGACCAGTGATGCATGTGTCCAGTCCGGCACAGCCCGTGCCCGTTCCACCGGCGCCTGGTCCGGCTCCGGTCAGCAGCTCCACTCCGGAGTCAGAGCAGTCCGCTCCACCTGGGTCTAGTCCAGCTCCGGTCGGCAGCTCCACTCCGGAGTCAGAGCAGTCCGCTCCACCGGGGTCCAGTCCAGCTCCGGTCAGCAGCTCCACTCCGGAGTCAGAGCAGTCCGCTCCACCGGGGTCCAGTCCAGCTCCACTCCGGAGCCAGAGCAGTCCAGCAGTGCGCCGAGGTCCAGACCAGACCAGGGGCGCAACGGGGAATGCCCGCCCGGACCCTACCCTGTTATGTCAGGTTTGTGCGGTCGGAGTCCGCACCTTTGGGGGGGGGGGGGGGGGGGGGGGGGGTACTGTCACACCCTGTCTTATGGGACTCTTGTATGTTGAGTCAGGGTGTGGAAATCTATGTTGTATATTCTATGTTTAGTTCTAGTTGTTCTACTTCAATGTTTGGCTGGGTGTGATTCCCAATCAGAGGCAGGTATGCATTTCACGCTGCGCCTTGGTCTGACCCATCCTTCAACGAACGTGACAGTTACCCTCATCGATTCCACTATACCCAACGCTTTTTTCACCCATCCTGAAACCACAAATGGATCAGCCAAAAGGCCAGGGTCCACTCTTTCCAAAAACTTCACTCTTACTGTCAGACTCATCTTTATCCTGACCCTCTGTGCAAGCGTCGGTCTCCGATACTTCACCCTCCTTCACTTACATTTCTCCTCCTGTCTTCAGCTCACTTTGCTTACATTTTCTACCATTCTTCTTTAACAAACCTTCTCCCTTTCTGCCATTTTCTACTGACTCAAGCTCAGTCTTCCCCCCTCTCTCTCTTAGACCTCCTCTGCCTCTCTTTTTCCCTCCATTCCTCCTCCATCATCCAAGTATACGTCTCCTGATAATACTGCACTTCTCCTGACATACATCTGTTTCTTGCTTTCTCAAGGGACGCCATTTACGAGGCACCGCAAGTCCTCTGATCTGTTGGTTGAGTTTCAAAAACTCTTTCTCTCGACAAAACAGAATCCAAGGAGAAGGGGAGTGTCGTCACTGATCCAGATTCACTTTCCCGTCTTGGCTTGCGTCTTGTTGATGTTCTTGCCCCCCAAAAAACTACAGAACCTTCTTCTTCTTCTGTGGTTTTTATGGCCGACTGCAACCCAAAAAGGTGTATGGCCGCCACCAACTGGACAGGGTGAAAAAAATAAACAAGGTAAAAATCTAATCCATACTTGATAGGGAAACTTAATCCACCCAAATAAAAATAGTAAATTGAAAAAAACAAAACCAAACTCCCACTTCTTCCTTCTTTCAAATCTCCATATCTCCCTTCTCAGACTCTAGGGCCTGAGAGGGTGGTCCGGCTTGTGACAATATTCCATGTAACTCCTCCGCTGAGAAATCTTTGAGTTCCAGGAACTGCTCCGCCGCAT